AGGAGGAGATAAAGATGGCACCTTCCAAGTATTTTACTTTTCCCTTCTCCGGTACTTCAGAATTTTAATGCAGAATCTTTTCTAGGATACCTGAAATAATATTTTGGCACATTCCGAGTAAAGAATACAAGAATGTGGCTCCTAGATTCGATGCACGTAAGCATTGCATAGGTTCAATGTTCATGGAGGATGTTGCGGCTCAAGAAGCTGAAATGGGCATCATGAAAGTTCTCGAAGAAAGACATTCTGTTAAGGTAAGGCCTTCGAGTGCCATAGTCATTGAATGATTCCAAGATTTTGATGCGGACATCCATTTATTATTTATTTTCTATTTGGACTATTAGTTATATTTTATTTGGACTATTGTTTATGTTTTCGTTAGTGGGCTTGTTTAGTAGATTTGGCCCAAGCCCTTCTCTTTAGGGTTTATGTTCTGCTATTTATTTCTGTTTTGTTTCTCATTTGAGACAGTTGATGATGAATGAATAATTATTTTGGTGGCTTATGGCGCATCCCTCTCCTTCTTCTATTGAATTCTTCTTCTATCCCCTCCCTTAATTCCCCATTCTTTCTGAATCTTTCTTCCGTTTCTATTAATCATCCTATTGGTGTTGCATCAAATTTGGTATCAAAGCCGAACCATGGGTAATTTCTTTTCTTTAATCCAAAATTTATTCATATTTCCTACCCAAAATCTGTTGGAACAGCACGAACTAAAAGAATATTTGGTACAGGCAGCAGTTTTTTTCTTCTTCTTCAATTTTCAGTCTTAGTTGAAAAAAAAAAAAGTTACTGTTCACGGGTACTGTTCACGCCAAAAAAAAAATTTTCGTTTTTTTCTGCTGCTCATAAAAAAATTGTGGTGTTGTTCCACAAATCTCAAACCCTAGCATTCAAGCCCATGTAGCCCAACTAACCCAGCCTACTCTTTACGACCCAGGCCCACTCTCTAAACACCAACCCCAGCTGGCCCATCTCTATAACAGGATCCAAACCCCTTCCCATCTGACCCAGTCCCAAATATCCGACCAAGCCCGATTATAACCAATCCATTAACATCAAATATCCCACAGTTTCACCCGATTCCTCTCTCACAACCACTCTCTTGCTGCCATCGCCTCTAATCACCATCACGCTACCACTTCATTATCTATTGTACCCAGGCATCCACTTCAAATCAGCACAGTCAACCATATACATAATCCAATTTGCCGCCTTCTTCAACACATTCTACAGATTTCTATTACCGACACCCACCCACTCAGACGCCTCTATCCCCGGCGTTTCTATCTTCCACCAACTTCATTGATCAAGCAGTTTACTGTCTCTACTACCAAGCAACCCATTCAGTTACACAGAGGTTTCTATTTCAGCATCTGTCCAATTTCAGTGAAGCCAACAATTTAGAATATGCAATGACCGTGAGTTCAGGAGCTGGAGACATTTGACACAGGCAAATCAGAGGCCCAATCGTTAGCAATTCAGGCAACTAGACTACAGGGAGTTG